ACAAAGGCCAAGCCCCAGTGACACAAGCCTCAGCATCTGGAGGAGAAAGGCCGGGTAAGAACATTCAGGAAGGGGGCAGCCAGGGAGGGGCCACCCACATTCCAGAGATGGAGGAGGCTGACTCAGGGTGCAGCCAGTAGGACCAGCAGGGGCATAGCCTTGGGGCACAGCAGGGTCGGGCAGGAGGGGAGCCCCGCACCGGGCTGGCAGTCAACCTGATATCCCAACCCTTCCTACCATGACACCACCGAGTGTCCCCCCGGACAGGGACTGCAGAGCCTGCCCGGAGCAGCACCTTCCCGGGGCTCCCCAGTGCCCAGACCCTCCCGCAGCCCCCATGCTGTGCCTACCTTGCCGCCTTGGTGTGGGCTGGAGGTGGCAGGCGCTGGCTATATAGGGAGCCAGGACCCCTCCCGGACTGTCCCAAGGTGAAGCCAAACCACAGCAGCATCAGAGTTCTTAGAAGAGCAAAAGCTGCTCTGGGTGGAGCTGCTCAGCCCCGAGCCCACCCAGCCTGGCCACGCTGGGACTCACCCTGGGTACTTCCCGGGCTGGGGGGCACCAGGGACCTGCTGTCCTGCCCCACCATGGGCATCGTCAGGGCAGTAAGGAGGGGTCGCAACCCCCCTCCCCACAGCAATAGCAGCTGGGACGTGCTGGAGCCCCTGGTGCTGAGCCCAAGCTGCAGGCTGGCACAGCACCCTGTGACTCAAAGGGCACCTGCAGCCCCCGTGGGTAGGGAGCAGGGGCCAGAGCATGGGAAGAGACCACTGAGGGGAGGGTTTGGAGAGGGGCAGGGCCATGTTTGGCCCTGGCATGGTGGGCTGTGGTGGGTCCTGGCAGAGCCCGGGGTGCTGCACCCCAGCAGGCATCTGGTTGTGTCACCCCTTCTCAAGGCCACGCAGCTGCCCTGGGTGCTTGTCCCACAGGACACTGGGCTGGGGACAAGGGGCAGAGGCAGCCCCAGCCCAGGGCGAGGGGCCGGTGCAGCCCCCACCCCGGGGGGCAGGCGGCCCAGGCTGGGGAGGGGGCGGAGGAGTGAGCTGTGCCCTCTGCTCTTCCTCACGTACTTTCTGGGGTTCCTAGAAAGCGAAGGGGAAGTTCAGGCTCTGCGGAGGCTGCGGGGAGGCCTAGACCTCACCTTTCTGCCTGATCTTCGAGGTGCTGAGGCAGGGACGGGGCAGTGGAGCCTTCTGACCCATTCCTGGGAACAGCAGAACACCCGGGCATGGACTGGGGGATGGAGGGATGGAGGCAAGCAGGGGTGTCAGATGCTGGGACAGAGCAGCCCCGTGCTGAGGGGTCAGTCCTGGGGCAAGAGCTGCAGCACAGCACCGGTACTGGGACCCCTGCCCCCCCCAGGCAGAAGCTCAGCCCTTGGCCCTGCTGCCATGAGAGAAGTTGGAAAGCTGGAGAGGAACCCCAAAATAGGAAAGGGGACCCCGAGGAGTGCGGGGGATAAGGGCACCTCGCCCCGGGGAGGGGCCCGTGGCAGGGAGCAGGGGCCGCGGCCCGTCCAACTGCCCGCCCCCACCCCGGCTGCAGCTTCCCCTCCGTTTCTGCGGAAGAGCCGCGACCGCAGAGAGGAAAACCCGTCCCAAAGGCCAGGGCTGCCCTCGGCGTGGCCGGGGCCCCGGCGCCCTGCCCAAACCGGGGGTGTGAGCTGAACAACACCAGGCGTGCCTCACGCTCAGAAACCTCCCAGCCCACCCTCGCCGGACCCCTCAGCAATCACGGACGCGAGGCCAGGAGCAAAGGTCACAAAACTTTATACAGGAGAGACCCGCGAACGGCCCCTCGGCCCCGGGGGGCTGCTCCCCCGGCGGGGAATGGGGGGCGGGACGGCCAGGCCCGGCAGCCCCCGCCCCATAGCAGCCCCCGCCCCGCCGCAGCCCCCGGGGAAACACGGGGTGAAGGCGCCCGGGCGGGGAGGACCTGCACAAGTGCCCCGGCCCAGCGCTCCCCGAACCGGGCTCTGTCCTCGGGGGCGATGCCGGTGCCGG